ATGGTGTGTGTGTGTGTGTGTGTGTGTGTGTGTGTGTGTGTGTGTGTGTGCGTGCGTACAATTTGCGCGTTCGAGGCGCCTTGTTAAACCGGTTCGAAACTTAATGAGATGTCAAAGATTCGAGTCCAGACTTTGGGCCCACGTCTCGTGTCCGGTTCCGCTGGGCTCACCTGGGCAGGTCACTCCTCCACACGTACAGACTCCCGACATACGAGCAGGCGAGCAGTAGGCAGGACAGAACCGAGACCCAGCATAATCCGTCCGGAGGGATGAAGTCGCCATTGCCGCGCTTCGTGTCTTCTGCCAGAAGGTTCGGAGACAAATCCTCCCTCTCGGCCATGGCGGGCGGCACCTGGGGCTGAAGAGGACTAGCAGCTTGTACCGGGACGGTAGCGGGACCGTCGAACGGACCCGGACATGAGCAGAGGCGAGGTGGATTGATAACGTCCGCTCAAACCGTAAGCAGTCGCTGCTTCCCTCAGCGGCGCTTCCAATCTACGTCATCAAGTGTTTTTGTGCTACATTCACAGACCGCAAAAATATCGGATTTACTAACTTCGCTCTTACATAATGTTACTCGTATTATTAACAGACTCAAAGGCATACGTCAATACAATTGTATGTATGAAAAGTCATATTGTGCTGTGTTTTATTTCCATGAACAAACTGGCTTAAACCAGTTTAATGCAGCCGAATTAATCCTGAATCTTGACTCTCAAATATTTTTTTTCTGTGTAATGATCACAAACTGAGCTGCAACAATTTTTTCAAGAACTTTAGAAATAAAGAAAATGTGATAGAGGCTGATAGTTGAATAACACTCCTGGATTAGAAGCAGGCTTTTAGTAAAGCTTTAATTAGAGCAACCTAATACCTTTGTGGCACACAGTTTATCAACAAAGACAGACTGATCAGACCACGAAAACATCATACACACACACACACACACACACACAAAACGTGATGATCTTTAAAAATGTAAACGTTTTTAAATAACCATCCAAATACAGCTCACATGTTGACAACATCCTCAGCGTGGTCAGCCAGGGTGGGCTTGGTGGCCATCTTGCTTAGGCCACAGGCCGACAGCAGCATGTTGTTGACCGTAGCAGAGGGTGTGGGCCCCGGGTAACATTTCCACTGTGGTGGAAGTTGCATTCCAGGCAAAGACGATCAGCCATGCTTCAGAGCTGGTTGATAGTTACAGAAAATCAAGAGGAGTCTTTTATTTTTTTGTTACTGTCAGTGTGCATATAACCTTTAATGAATATTTACATCACGGACAGTGGAAATTCTCAAAATCTATAACATGTGTCACACCTTACCTCTGTCCATCAAACATCCAATTTTTGTTTGAATTACTAAGGGACATTGATGCCCTCCCCATTTCTTGCCTTTACTGCTGCAAATCTTCCTGCAAGTCCTTCTGTAGACAACCATAAAGATAACTATGATTTATTGTACCATTTTAATGTTATTTTCTGCTTTTTTTAAATAATCATGTGTGATATCATTATAATATGATTCCCCTTTCATCAGTTTTATCAACTCAGTGTGCCATTGCGTGGAGCACATGTTGATCCAACTTCCCCTTTTTCAAGCATTGTGTCGCATTGACAGGAGTCCATGCAAAGTTTTATTTTCATAACAGCAGCGTGGGTGTGTTATGCACTATTTGACGAAAAAGATGTGAGCCAGAGCCAGTGGAAGTCTGCTGGGACCGAACAGAAAACAGACAGAGGACAGAGGTAAATTCTTTTGACTCCTATGTAATACTCATTATTTCTAAAATTATTACATTACATTAAAGATGAAGACAAATTATTTTTGGTCTAACTTTATTGCATTAAACTAAATATTTTCTTCTTCCAATATCATGGGTATGAGTCTTAATGCATATTATTAAAGGAACCTTTTATCTTTTACATGAAAATGCTTTACAGAAACTCACTTTTAGGTGTTTTAATTGGATATGCAATTATTATAATAAATATGTTTACAATTGCCAGTTGACTTCCATGCAAGAATAAACCATTAAGATTATATACCATTTTAAAGCTTAAGTCATATAATTTAACTTTAGATTTTAAGATAGCTGGAGCTTTTTTAAACCCTCTATATCTTAACCTATACATGACAACATTTGTTCCTTGGGATAACCAAAATGACTTTGAAATA